TATAGAGGAGGAAAAAAGGTACAAATAATGCATATTAAGAGCAGCACAGGAAGACAGGGATAGATATTGTGACATAAAGGGCATAAGTGACATAAAGATGGGCAGTACTGTTACATAAATCTGAAGAATAAAAGACATCAAGAAGACCATTAGAATTATTAAGAGGGTTACAGGAGATCCCCAAAACAAGCAAGTTTGTGTGTTGCACATAAAATTTGCAGAACAGGATGGTAGGATAAACTGCTCTTTTTTAAAGTAACTCGGTTCTTGGTTTCACAGCAAAGTACTTCCCATGATCAGTCTGCAAAACAGGCAAACTCAGACTCCTGCAGTTTATAAAAAAGCTGGGGGGGGATCAATCTGTTTATAACCAAAGTTAAATATAAACTTCTGCCTCAAAGATAAATCTCTACCAACTACTAAAGGCACAATTAAATCCTAATGCAATGTTGAATGCAACCAGGAGAACTCTGGGCTAAGGAGGTGGCTGGCTGCACTTCCTTGCTTGGCCCTTGCAGCCACACTGGGGCTTCTGCACATGCACACAAAAATTCCAGAGTGGCAAAAGCGTGAAGCTGAGATGAGTCACTGCTGCTATCAGAAATGTACAGCAGTAGGGAAGTTGTCAGGTTCTACAGTGGGAGGGGAAGGAAAATTAAACCACCCCAAACCTTAAGTGCAAACAGGAATTTTAGTTTTTGTCTGCTTAAAGGTCAGAACAAATTGGCAATACTGAAAACCAAACTCATGCTGAGCACTGGATTATGTTCCCATTACAAAAATTTTGCATTAGGTTAAAGGTAATTCTTACTAAGTAGAATTTAATCTAGTGTAGACATTCTTCTTTTTGTTGACTTTGAGTACTTCTCTCAGAAATTACACTTCACTTTTTTTTTTGTCAGAAATGGAAACATTGACTGATTCACATGAATAAAAGAAAACAAACCTGAGAAAAGTGCTTTAAAACCTTAATATTAAGTACCTCCACTGAAGAGACTGCTAACCCAAAATTACATTGATACAAAAACTACACAAAAATTACATTGATAACTTTAACTCAATAAGGCCATGCCTACACCAAGCGCTTGCTGTTTACATGGAGATAAAGACATGGCATCAACAAATTCCTGCAGTGATTTTGAAATAATCCCAGACCATCCCAGGCAGGTATCACATGCTGCAGGATCGTGCATTCTTGAATTCTCCTCCACGCGGTACATGGTGGGACACTCTCAACCTTCAGCTTGTGGGCTCAAACTGCAAAACTAGCTCCATCTAAAATAGTCATCTTACTTCAAAGGATATCGAAATGGGATAAGAAACAGTAACAAAAAAAAAGGCAAACTATGCTGGGAAAATGAATCATTTGACCCTCATCTAGGTTATTCCTTAATCTCCAACAGAAGCTTCAAACCAGCAGGACGAAATTTAATCTTGCATAAAGATTTTGTCACTAATTATCACACTGTACATTCTTGACACTGAGCTAAACTTCCAACCCTTTTAACACTTCGGCAGTCGGGTTCCTGGCCTTATGGACCTCCTGCATTTTTGTCACACCAAGTGTGAAGGAGAATTCAAACTGACTGCAAATCAATTTATGCTGCCCTTTGTATCACTCAGCTCCCCCAGTTTACTCATCAACACTACTACCATTTGGTTTGTTTCACTCAACAACTTGTAAATTCTAGTCTTTTGATGTGCATTACATAGGTTTGTACCAAACCGTTTATAATGGGCCATTTCTTCAGCTGATGCAGCTTGTTTTGAACTTTTGTGTGGTATTTCAGCAGTGTGGAGAAAAAAAACTAGTGAAGCTCAGGTTACCTGTCTCAGATTTGATTAGACCAATTTAACATGTAGAAAAAGACTGTCAGTGGGTGATTCAAAGGATATCATCTGCCAGGATAGGAACAACTATCTTATTTTAGTTCCCTACCAAGCTTGTGATGAAAAGTTCTCATTTAAAAGAGGTAACAATAGAGTCAGACCCATTTTACGTGCAGACCCTGTTCTGGGCAATCTTGGATGCACACTGCTTAGTGGCAGCACACAATTAGTTCCACTGTGTTGTAATACAGACTCAAGCAGCTCTTAAGATATATTCAGTGACCTACTGAACAGCACCCAAGCTGGGTCTTTACACTGTTACTTTTTTCAAGCACATTAAGCTCTGTTATCATTCAGATATGTCTGAGCTCCAAGACAAACAGCAGGAATATTTCACAGCTATAAACGGTTATCTTCAGAGAGAAACGACAACAAAGAGAAAAATTTTGAAAGAGTTGACGTTAATTTTTCAGGAACAAAACTATAATATCAAACACCGTATTGACTTCTCCCAGAAATTAATACCTGATGTCAATGTTATTAAAAAGAGTTTGCCCAAAAGCAAACTGAGGTGGACACCATCCTGCCTTCATCCCTCACCTGGAGCACAACCACTACCCCAAAAACAAGGGGCAGGTGCTTGGATAGTCACGCCATGAGCTGCTCCAGGGAACGGACTCTGCAAAGAGAAAATACCGGAATGCAAACACTCCACCCCTTACCGAAAACAAATCAAAAAACCCCAAACAGAAAAACCCCCAAAATCCCAACAAGTAAAAAAAGAGATTAGCTTCCAGGCAGCTCAGGTCCATGAATGTGCTCACAGGAATGGGGAAGGGATCAGAAAGCTGAGGCCAGGATTGTGGCAGTCCCATTTTAGATCAGTTTAGACTGCTGAAGCACCACGCCCTAAGATTACTTCAGGTGAAAAAAGACGGAAAATGACCCGCATCTTTTTATCTACATATTCCATTCTTTGTCACTGTATTTTTTCACTGTATATTTTTTTTTCTTCTTGAAAAACTGAACTCAGAGAAATAAGCAAGAAAGTTCTTAATAGAAATCACAAAATGTTAGTTTCTGAAACTTCCTTAAGGATACTGCTCACCAGAAATCTGATTTCAGTTCCTAAAACTCAAGCTGTGGTTAAACAGAGCTTTCAAAATAGTAATATTGACATTATTAGAAGGAAAAGATGGTATTTCAGAAAAGCAAGCTGTGTGTAAGATGACAACAGAACTCCAGCAGAAGACGAACATAAAACCACAACAAAGTAGGCCAAGGTATTTTGAAAAGCACCTTGTAAAAGACATAAAGCTAATACTTGAAATATTATTTATTTCTGAAAACCACACAGCTAAATAACCAAAGGGGCTTGTAAAACAAGTAAGCTGCAAATACAGGTCCAAGAATGGATGCTTAAGGCCAGCACCAAAAAGTAAGGCAGTAATTGACCTCAGCATTCACTGCAGAAGAGACTAAAAAGCTCCCTGAAAGCTTGTCTTGACAGGATATATTTAAAGACCTGCTTCTGAGACTCAAGGAAAGAGGCTTTAAAACAAGCCCAGAAAATGACCAATAAATCAACAGGACATGAATGTATTAACCCAAGAGTTATAAAGCACTGCAGAAATAAAACTGGTCAACTACTAATCATGGTATGCAAGTACAGTGCCACTGGTGTTGCTGCAGGTGGCCTGAAAGGACCAATTTCCACTCCAGGTACAATCCAGGGGCCTAATCAACAAATATGCTCGATGTTCTTACCTGAAAAACAGGTAATCATAACGACAAAGTGTGAGCTACTAGACTTGTGGCTAAAGAAGCTACTAGGAAAGTAGTGCCTCATATATATTAGCATTCTGAGAGAACAGGAGTGTGTGGGTAAATATAACAGTTAATGTAGCACATCAGGACTTTTCAAGCTCCCTCACAAAATGCTTTTCATATTTAGTTTACTGAACAACAGAACAAAGCATTTGATGAAATTCAATGTGTGAAATAACACACGAGGAAAATAAATCTACACAGCAAATTATTTCAGTATAGTTATTACCACTCCAAAAAAAAACTAAAAAGGAAAGTGAGCTTGGAGTGACTATGAAACATCAGAAAGAAAACAAAATCATAAGCATTCTTCACTACAAATCCATGCTACCTTTGTATTGCAAATACTTCCTTGCAGCTCTGGTCATCCATCTCAAATAAATAAAAATATACTTCATGAGATATGAATTATATAGACAAAAGTAAGGAATAAAGTCATTATTTTTTCCCCATACTAAGAATTATTATATAGACTAATATTTTCTGATTTAAAAAAAAAAAGATAGTACAAAAGAGACAAATTACATAGGTTTGTAAGTCACTGATGGTGTGAAGAAAATTAATAATTCTTCCATATTGACCATTTCTGACAGAAGAAATTATCAAAGCCTAGAAACAGAAGAAAAGAGGTCTTCCTCTATGCAGTATTTCATAAAACTGAATAGTGCAGGTATGGTGGTAGGTAGACCAAGAACACAAAAGCTGCCAGATAAAGGTTACACAAATTCATAACAGACAGGTCCTTTAGAAGGCATAAAAATCTGACAGCCCAAGATACAACCTCTGTCCTGGGGGCCTCCCTGACTTGCCTGATGCTGAAAGGATACGCTGTGTTTGTTTTGTTTCTGTTACACTTCCTGGAGCATCCACCACTGAACCTCATCCTCCCCAGGTTCCTGCAGTCACCAACTTCTGAGGTCTGCCCAGAACCACAAGTCCACCTCAGGTGTGGGAGAGGGGGACAGAGGTGCAGCCTGGATGCCTGTGGGGAAATCTGCTGAGAGATCTAAGCCAAGAAAGAAGACTTGGAGCAGTCACCACTGGCCTCCCCAACTGGAGATAGGACACCTGACTGGGTCAGACATGACCACTGCCTCTCGCAAAAGCTCATCTGCCATTTCAATGACAAGCTTTTGTTTATCGAACAAAAGTTTGCAACTTCTTCACTGCAAAGCAAAAGCTTGGACGCAAAACTGTTTGCAGAAGTTAAATAAGGCAGCAGGTTCTCCCCCATGTCAAGCTTTTCCAGAGGTCACATTCAGCTGCAATGGCTTCGGGCTCTGGCAGCAACTCTCCAAAGAGAGCTATGAAAGAAAGCCATTTACATGATTTTGCCCAGAGGTTGTGGAGTCTCCCTCACTGGAGATATTCCAAGAACCATCTGGACACAATCCTGTCCCATGTGCTCCATGATGACCCTGCTTCAGCAGGGAGATTGGACCAGGTGATCCACTGTGGTCCCTTCCAACCCGACCCGTTCTGTGATTATCCCGCCGTAACAGAACGCAAACTCCTGTGAGGAAAACTCTATAGCAGAACTCGAGTGTGAAGATAACGGGGTCTCACCGGCCCCCTGCAGAGAGCGGTGGCCCCCAAACGCTGCCCATCAGCGATGCTTTCAGCTAAAGGGGATGGTCTCTCCTCACCCCACACACTATCCATCACTGAGCCCTGCTAGAGGTGGGTGTGCCCTCTGCTCCCACCCCTCGCATTACCCATCACCATAATCCCTGTAAGAGCCGGGGTTCCCCTCTCACCACCGCACACGTTACCCCATCACTGACCCCTCTCAGAGGCGGGGGTGTCCCCCCATTCCCCCGCCCTGTCGCAGTGGTCTCTCCCTCTCTCCCTCCCTCCCCCGCGGTTGCCGTTGTCGCGCCCTGCCCTCACCATAGCGCTGCGAGCGCGGCGGGCGCCCCAGCGCCTCCAGCCCGCTCGGCCCCCACAACAGCACCAGGGCCGGCACCAGCCACAGTCGGAGCCTCATGGTCCGGGCGCGGCTCCCTCCGGCACCGGCCGCCCGCTCGTTCGCATCCGCCCGAAGCAGCCTCGCCCTCCGCCCGCCGCGCCGGGCCCGCCACCCTCCTGGGCCCGCACCCGGAAGCGCAGCGGCTGCGCGCGGGGCATTGTGGGGGCGGGCGGGGCCGCCATCTTGGGCGGCGGGGGCGGTGCTGAGGGAGGTGCGGCCCGGGCGGGAGCGGGAGCGGGAGCGGGAGGTGGAGCGGCGGCCCTGGGCAGCCCGTGAGGGTCCGGGATGAGGTCCCTCGGTGCGGCGCGGGAGGAGTCACGGCGGTCGTGCTCTCTAGCGCCGGCTGCGCTGTGAGGATGTGAGGCGCCAAGTGCTGCCTTCACAGAATCACGGAATGGGTCAGGGTGGAAGGGACCACAGTGGGTCATCTAGTCCAACCTCCCTGCTCAGGCAGGGTCATCTTACAGCTTGTGGCACAGGATTGCGTCCACATGGTTCTTGGAATATCTCCAGTGAGGGAGAGTCCACAACCTCTCTGGTCAATCTGTTCCAGTATGGGGTCACTCATAGTAAAGTTCTTCCTCGTGTTCAGGGGAACTTCTATGTGTCAGTTTCTGCCCTTTGCCTCTTGTTCTGTTGCTTGGCACCACTGAGAAGAGCCTTACAGACATTGATGGGGTTCCCTCTCAGTTGTCTATTCTCAAGGCTGAACAGGCCCAGCTCCCTCAGCTTTTCTTCAGAGATGTTCCAGTCCCCAAATCATTCTCATTGCCCTCCGCTGGACCTGCTCCAGGAGCTCCGTGTCTCTCCTGTACTGAGCAGGCCAGAACTGGACACATCAGTCCAGATGTGGCCTCTTCAGGGCTGGGTGGAAGGGGCAGGATCACCTCCCTTGACTTGCTGCCAATGCTCTTCCCACCAGGGGCACTCGCTTTCTTGGGGCATCATCACCACAGCCCCCTCACTGGCCTCCCAGAGTGGGAACAGACCTCTGGAAAGGGAGGGGCTCTGGGTTCTGCAGCCTGTCCCTGGGGAGAGCAGGGGGTGTGGATCTCCCCAGGCAGGACCCCAGCGCTCTCGGGTCCAGCACACTCAGTGGTGCCGCTCACAGCTGCGTTTGCAGCTTCTCCTCCTCCCATGCAAGTGACTCTACTGGTGACTTTACAAGGTTTTGTGTAGTTTTCACAGCACAATTGAGGATTGTGGCCCTCAGTACAAATAATAACTGATGGATCCATAGTCAACTGTTCCCAAACAGCAACACCTTATTGAGACAAAAAACCAGGGAAACATACCTGAGTTACAGCTATGCTGTAGTGCTCCAGTTAATGTTCTCCAGAATTACCTCGATCTCTTACCTTTTTGCAGATGTCTCTGGCAAAGATGATTGCAAGTGATGTAATCATCAAAACTGGAGAAAAAACATCCCCATTGCCCATCCTGCTTAAGCTGTGCTGCCCGTTATTTAACCTGAAATACTTAAATAGCATCAATAGAATTATTCCTTTTTCAATTTGTCATAAGAAGGTAAGGTCAGATATACTGCTTAAACCAAGAGGATGTCTCCCAGTTCTTGTCTCGAAAGATGGGAAGATTATAAGAGGCCAAACTGCTGGGGAAGCTTCCAGTGGATCCCCTTTGAACTTCCAAAAATTTACATCTAGTGATTCCCGAAATCAGAGGGGGTAGTGTCTCGCTCAACAGCTCTCACTTTATCTCCTCCATACATTTGTCCAGTTGACTTGATGCTCAGGAAGTTCCACCTGAACATGAGGAAGAACTTTTTTCCTGTGCAGTGACCTCACACAGAATCAGGTTGCCCAGAGAGGTTGTGGACTCTCCCTCACTGGAGATATTCCAGAACCATCAGGACGCAATCCTGTGCCATGTGCTCTAGGATGACTCTGCCTGAGCAGGGAGGTTGGACCAGATGACCCACTGTGGTCCCTTCCAACCTTACCCATTCTGTGATTCCGTGACCTTCTGCTACTTATGTAAGCTTGTAGCATCCATAACATCCCATTGCAGGGAGTTCCAGCACGTCACTGTATGTATGAACAATCACTTTTCTTGCTTTCCTGACATTTGTGACACCGTCTGATGATCCACCCCTGCTTCTTTCTTTGGAAAGTAAGTAAAACAATTTTGCCTTCTCTGTGCCAGTCACCACTCCGTGGGCTCCACAAGATCCCCTTTCAGTCTGGTAAGGCTTCTCTTGCAAACTGACAAGCCCAAGTGAAATCTTGTTCTTTCCAAGCAAGTGTTTGTTGTCATTCTATGAACTTTACCATTTCTGCTATTCCTGTTTGTAGTGGTGGGACTGGAACTGCATATAGTGTTCCTGACAGAAGCACAATGGGTTTATAAAGTGGCATAACAATACTCCCTGCCTTGTTCTCAATATTGTCTCTAAATGTTTTTAGTATTCAATGTGGTGTTGATCTCCACTAAGCTGCCATTGTTCTACAAATAACATTATACTTCCCAGCTCTCACTCCTGCAGTTTGGTGGTCAGTTCAGACACCATTATTCCACATGTGATGTAGGACTGTCTTTTCCCCACGTGCATAATTTTACATGTGTCTGTCTTTACGATCATCAGTCGTTTTCCTGCTAGGCACTGAGGCCTGTGTTCAGTTGCCCCCATGAGGGTGTCCAGCACTATCTCAGATGACACAGAGGGTCTGACTGAAGCTTTAGAGGAACCTTGTGGGTCTCCATTGAGTCCTGTGCTAGAGCCAATAAGGTGTCTCCCATGACTGCGGGTGATTGAGCCCCAAATAGTGAAAGGTCTTTCTGCAGTTCTCAGCCACACCTTTTCTTTCCCTCCATGAATAACACGATACCATCAGCAATCTTTGTCTTGTCACTCCTTGCCTTATTCAAATTGCTTATGAATAAGCACAGAGATGTGAAGGTGCATTAGTGGCCTCTTACTGTGAAAGTTGACCATTTACTTAGTCTTTTAACTGCATTTTAATCCATACTGGGATCTTCTCTCTTATCCCATGGTTGCTTAGTCTCCTTAAGAGCTTTTGGCAAGAAAGTCTTGAAAGTAATTCAGAAATCTCAGGAAACTGTATCTCTGCAATCCCTCTTATCCAAGTGCTTGCTGACACATTCAGAAAACTTCATACTGAGTGTATAAGGCAAGACTTCTCTTTGGAAGAACAATGTCAACAAAACCCTTGTTGACCATTCCCTGGTAAATCATACCTGTCCCTGTGTGCACTAATATAAATATATTTGTACTAGTCTGTGCAGAATAGGCATCAGTTTTAATGGTCTATAGTTCCCATCTTTCCCCTAGAAACAATTCTAAGAAATAATGTAATATTTTATACAATCAACTTCTTAGATGCCAAGAAAGTTTTAAGCAAGAATTTATACCACAATTAGCATTTCAGTTACTGCATCCTTGAGTTTCCTGGATGAACAGAATCTGTTGACAATCTGTCACTGTTCATTTTGTGTATTCTTAACTCATGAACCTCTTTGTAAGCCATCAACTCATTTTGAAACAGATCGGGGAGAAGTCCGATGATGAAGTGTTCCAGCAGCAGAACACAGACTCAGGAAGTTGTCTTGGGTTTTCCACCATGGCCTTAACATCTCCCAGTACTATTTTTGTAGCCAGTTCAGTTGATGGGTTTCAGCTTCTGGCACCTGGTACACTAAGAATATTGAAATAGTATCAGATCCTCTTGAAAATGATTTATTAATGAGCTTTATGCATTTTATGACTTCGATGTAATTCATGAGATCTATCATAATGCTCTGAATTGGAGATTTCATGGGGGTTTTTTGTGTCTTATTCCTTTGTGTGGGATTATTCCATGTTTGTGCTTAATCTTCTTACCTCTTTCTGGTCTTGGTTGTTTTTTTTAGATATGGTATACCCATTCTGAAGTATATAATATATAATTTTTCTCTACCCATTTCTTGATTCTAGTGACTTTCCTATTTTTTGACCTCTGCTGAGTACAGAGTTGAGGTTTCAGGTAAGTGATGCTTCACCAGCTTTCCAAAATATCTTTCCAAATTAGTAACAACTAAATAAATGCTCATCATTGCATTTGGTGAAGGTTAAACTTGGCATTTATAAACATCAATTTTCATTTGCCATTTTATCAGAAGTGATTTAATATTGCAGGATCTTTCTGCAAGTCTTAGAATCAACTTTAGGTGGAACTTTTTGGAATAGGTTTGTTTTATCTGAGTACTATTTATCCCTTTCTTCAGGTCATATATTGGACTGCAGAGGTCCCAGTACAGATCCATTTTTTTATCAATGGATGGACTTTCTCTCACTGTTTTGTAACTTGTGAAGTAAGAAACAGAAAGCCAGGTAGAAGGTTTATTTTTCTGTTATCACATGAATTTTCTCACTGACTAGGTTTGTTTCTTCCATTTACTTTTTATCTCACTTGATTGCCAGTAAATATTTTTAGGGTTATATACTGTGATTTGTGTTTGACAGAGCCCATCACAATGGAGTTGTTAGATAAAGTGTTTAGACTATTGCTATTTAATAATAACATAACAGTATATAGTAATTATAAGTGTAATTGATTTAGCAATATTGTTTACTCAGCATTAATAGCAATAATTTATTTTGTATCAGAAGGTTAGTTTTATTGCATTTCTGGGTGTGATTTATTTTTTCATTTCATTTTAATTTATTTATTCAAATATATCATCTTGTGTCCAGTACAAGAGCACTTTGGAGTGTGTTGATACTCAGTATTGATAGAAATGCATTCTTTCTTACCCTCAGGAAGGAATTTGAGCCACTTTATTAATGTAATTAGGGACTAAACAAGCATATGATACATACATGGGATATAATTAGAAATTAATGGGAAGTAGCATGTAGTGTGTTTTGGTGAGGAATAGCACAACTATAGCACATAGAATTAAAAAAACCCCAAAACAAGATAATATACATAGCCAGTAAAATGCATTTCCCTGTGTTAATAACAGAAACTAGAGATGTGCAGTGACAGATAACTGGGCAGCTAACCCTGTTCAGAAGAAGGGTCTAAGAGCAAGTGTTTGATAAAAGAGGTTAATCCACTAACTAGAGCGATTCCTAAAATATAGGGTTTAGCAGTTCACTTGGAAGGGAAGGTGGATTCTGTGGCAGGCCCTGGAGGAAGATGGAGGATTACCTTTGTTTTGTGAATGTTTGAATAGTAAATGATACCCTGAGGAGAAAGTCCTGATCTTGGTTCTGAGCTAAAGAGATAAGCAGAGCCCCTCCCCACCCGTGTGGGAGAGGTAGGCTGCATAAAGCTGCATATTTTCCCATGGGAATTATTGAAATCTCTATTACATGTGGCTTTTGAATCTATGTTGGGCGAAGCCCTGGGGAGTGTGGTGACTTATAAGAATTGTTCTTCTTTTGGGAGGAGGATGGAATGAATGAGTTCATAAGTCTCTTCCCATTCATGATCATCTGCAAAAAAAAAATCCTTAAAAGCACTTGAAAGTTTCTCAAAGTAAAATAACCTCCAAAACACAGAAAAAAAACCCCAAAAGCAAAACATCATCTCTGCTTGTGTAACACAAGGAGGGCTTCCATGCCATGGATCACGGGACCTAACAGCAAGACAGGTCTGCAAGAGTTAAAAGGCAGAGGACTGATCAATCTGATCACGGAGGTTAAGTCTTCCCCCTCTTGCTGGTTGAGACTGTTCTGATAAATGAGATCTGGACTCCTGTGGCATACCAGTTCTGAAGTTCCTGTTAATTCCTCTCTTCCTGACCTCTTTTTTTCTCCTCTGTTCTCTTCCATGGCTGTCTTCACCAAGTCATCTGACTTAGTCTTGTCTCTTGTATCTCCATAGATAATATTTTTTCCCATACAGCATTTCATTACTTCAAAGGCGTCACCCTTACTTAGCATTGTTTGGCCTATTGTCACTTTCTAAATATGTATAATAGCATTCCACATTAGTGATCCAGCAGTTTATAGTGTTAATAGTCTTTTCCCAACATTTCCCCTGCGTACTTAGCAAGACAGAAATTTGGCTACACCTATTGAAATCTACATATTCCAGTATTTTCTGACTGTGAGGAACTTTTCTAGTCTCCTGTGGTCTTCTGACTGATTTACCTGCTGTGCTAGTTTTGAAATCTGCTATTACTGCAATATGAAGGAAAGCAGAGAGATCAACATGAGTGAGCTTTTTAAGGCAGAAGCAACCTGAATTTGTTCTTCATAATTGTGAGCCTGTGTTCTCCATAATTATAATAACACATTATGCTTTTATTCCCCAAAGCGTAACAAAGTTAATCTTCCTAGGGAGGGAATATACTCTTGTGAAGTTACTTCCTGCCACAGTCTTTTTAAAATCCACAAAGAAATTACTTGGCCCAACTTTCTGACACAAAGTGGTCCCTGTTTCTTATATCTGCCAGGAGATGGTGCTGCCAGTCTTCCATCTCTCTCTTTCCAGTTCTTAGGAAAGGTGGCACATGTTTATATATAAATAATGAAGATACTTCTGCCATCTCACTGGTGCACTTTTGTTCTAACAGGGTAACAGAAGACACCTCTCCATATTTAAAGCTTACTACTATCTTAGAACTGGATGTACATATTTAAGATTCACCAGATATCAATGGAAAAACCATTCAGGAACTTTGCAGAGTTTTCAAGTGCTCCATGACAGGATGATGAATACAACCCCCTCATCTTTATGATTTCCTGGGTAGTTTCACACATGCCTTTCTCACCTTTACAGACATCTCTGCATGCACTCTGGCAAGGTGATTCCTACTCTCACAGGCATCCCAACCCTGTTCAGACAAAAAGGGCTTTGACACTGATTTAAATGGAAGCAAGATGCAGTTTTAAATCTCATCCTAAGTCACTTTTGGTAATTGAGAGCGTTCTGTTAGCATCAATGTTAACAGGTCCCATGGCTCCTGATTCCACTGATTTAATATGTCCAATGATTTCTCTTACCCACCTACAGCTGTCACAGACACTGCTGAAAGTTAACATATCTGGTACCAATTCCTGCTTTTCAGAGGACATCTGATATTTTTATTTGTTCTCTTTCCTCTCCTGAGAAAAAGCTTCTCTGATGTGAACTATAATAGAATAAAAGAGAATCTTAAGTATTCCATAAGATAAAATATACTTCATCTAGGCAATATTTTTGGTCAGACATTAGGACCAGATATTATTCCAGGAGTATTGTTAATGTAAAGGCAGCTAATGTGGAGCTTGGGGAAAATAATGAAATGTGGGACAGTCTCCAGCTGTACTATTTTGGTGTATGAGACACAGATTGCCAGCATACTCCAGCAGCCCAAGCAAAACCTGGCAGCTGGACAACTGGATATCTCCTGTACTAAAAAAAATTAATTAGTAGGAATTTTAACTGATTAAATTTGCACACATTTGGATTTGGAAAGTTCTGCTGGCAATCTACCTTGTGCTGACTTCTTTGGTCCTATATTTGTGTGTATGTATATGTGTCTGTGTCTATATACACATATGAACAGTCCCTGCTTAGGCTTAGAACTGTACAGAGACAATAAGAGACAAATGAAATTCTTTTGGGCAAACTCTGAAGTCAGTATTCAGTGGCTTCACAAATGAGGTTTATTCTCATGTGGGAGAGTTGCAAGGTAGAACTCCTGGGATTTTTTTTCCCTCACTAGCTACGTTGGCAATATGGGATTTAAGTGTAAGTGGAGGCTTAAACATGCCATGAAAAATTAATGTATTGAATGCTGTAACATCTGCATTACAAAGAAACTGAAAAAGAGTGGGCTAAAAAGAGACTGTGCTGGAATGGATGCCTTTGAGGGGCTTTTTTGGCAAGATCTCAAATAGAGAGCAATTCATGGAATACATGGAATGTATCATTAGAGTTTGCTTGCTGTTCCTAATTAGAGCTGTAGTATACCACACTTGGGAATGTGGCATCACCAAGAGCTACTTGAAAAGAGACAAATGCCTCAGCAAAGCAAGTAAGACCATGCATTTTCCTTGAGTTCTATGGTGAGAACAGGCACCTGGAGCCTCCTGCAGAATCAGATACTCTTGAAAAAAACCTGCTGTGAAGGGATGGTGCAGAGATTCTCCTCGTGTACAATGAGAAGTTGCATGTCTGTCTTAATGCTCCTCTGGGCACCATCTTAAAGCCTCAACAGAGTGAAAAGAAAAGGACAAGAGGACCTCCTGTAGTGACCTAGTGGCTTTGGAGCAGAAGGACAGGACAGAGTTACCTCTAAATTGCACCACTGGCTGGATGAACGCATTCACCTCAGACCTGGCAGAATGCAGGCAGCTTTTTGCTGAGCTGGTGCAGCCCTCAGTGTAACAAGCTCTCAACCTTTTCAGAGGTTTCATTCTCCATACTTATTTTTGACCCTGCCAACTCAATGGTGTCTGAGCAACATAAGTGTGAAGCATTACTGCTCCAGGCCAGCAAGTATTTCACACTCTAAGCAAGAAAACCGGATCAAGCTTCTCACAGTTCTTTCTCAGATAGAAATAAATCCTCTTGGTCTCACTCACATCCTCAGTGGAACTATTCTAAGTGATTTCTTTGCAAAAAAAAAAGTTCATCAAATGACTTGGGTCTATGAACACTATGTCAAAATCTTCATGTGACCAGAATTTGCACATGCCATCTATTTCCAAAAAGAAAAGGAAACCTCTGTGAGCAGCCTGCATTTGGGACAGCAGTTCACCACTGCAAAATAGGCCTGCACGTGTCTTGGACTTGCAGACAGCCTACTGATGTCAGGCTCAGGAGCACCAGCTGCCTCATTTCATCCAACAGTTGGGGTTCAGGGTACCCAGACCGGCCATCCTCATGGTGGAACTTTGATGCAGGAGCTGCCTTTGAACTGCTTAAGACCTATGTGTGATTCAAGAGTGACCTGCCCATCAACTGAGATTTCAAAACCTTTATTTTTATATGTCTTAGTATTTATATGCCTTTGATCTCTCATTTTCATGGTGCCTCATTTCTCTCCACTGCAGGGCTTTCAGTGCTGTGTGCTTAAAATGTGACTCACACAGTCGCCGTTGCCCAGCCCTGCCCAGTTACACTGCTTTTGATTTGCTCACCAGCTCGATATGATACAGGACACACAGCAGGAACGCAGAGACGAGCACTTCCAAGGGACACTTCTGCTGCAGGATAGTGCTGCAGGTTCCCTTCTACAACTGTGCAGGCTCATCCTTCTGGCTTAGCTGGAGCAGTTTGGTTGGAAGCATACTCTGTGTAGTGGTAGTAAAAAGCCTTGAGCGACCTGCACTGCGGATCAGCAAGTATGCCACTGAGCTGTGTTATTCATGGAGCTGTAGCTTAGATTGCCCTGGTAACACAGCTGTGCCATGATAAGGCACCTGGGAGCACTTTGGTGATTCAGCAATCACAAATGTCAAACTAGGTCAGCAGTCTCCAAACAGTTTGGACCCCTGAAGTGTAGTCAACTCTGAAAACTTATTGTAATATGTTATTAAGATTCTGCTTAAAAATGTGTTTTCATGTGGTTCTGCAGAGCCCATAGCACTGGCTCATGGGATACAGTAAGGAAACCACTGGCCAAAATACTTATTTAGCTGAAACTAACTCAAGGTACCTCTACAGAAGTGGGGAGACCTCCGACTAAGTCTCTTCACCTTTCTGTGTGTGAATCAGTTTTCCAGTGGTAGACCATGGATATTGATATACATTAAACATGCAATGCAAGTGCCAAGTACTCATAGTTATCATATACCTGCTGACCTAAAGCACCAATTTAAAAGGACTGGGAAATAACCTGAAAACAAGCACAGAGCTAGACCCATTTTTAAGTGATGATCTTAGGGACAAGGTAATTTTCTTTATGAAAAGTGAGACCAAGCTCATGTTTCTTACATGTGACTGCATACTGTTACTGGTGAAGAACTGGTAGGCAGGAAGTTTTTAAGGTCTCTAAAGCAGAAAGCACAGGCACAGAGTTTACTGCAAATCTAGGACAGAAACTCATACTTGGTTATCACTCTTTTAATATTTTTGTTCTCAAAAGAGTACTGCTTTATATTTAACCAGGGATGTTAATATGGCTCTTTGTAAATTAAAGTATTTTTGCACATGAAGGAAAAGATAATAAAGGGAGTGTTTTGAGAGAATGTCTGTTCTGAGCAGATGCCTGTTAGTTAAGATAGTAGGTAAACAGCACTGTAATCAAAGGACTCAAACTCTTTTGAAGTTGTTGACGAAATGTGTGACAAATATCATCAAGAATGTGGTTCAAAGGACATAGTTCATATCTCTAAGACACATACAGAAGGCTTGATTCGGATGTTATGCTACTTGTATACCTGATTATAGATATATTTTTATATATTATATATAAAATATATATATTTATATATTCAGCTGAATCAAACTTACTCTGCTGTCAGATATCAGCAGTGGGTAACCATTCTTGCTTTCTCTGGGATGCTGAGAAAAGCTGACCCTGTGGGCTCAGGGCAAAGAAGGACCCTGAAACAGGCCATTAAAGGGGCCATGAAAGATGAGGAGGTCAACAAGGTGACCAAGAAAAAGTTTCAGAGAAAAAACCCTCAAACTGTGTGGTGCCATCAGAGCTTTTGCTCTTGCACTTGTCCCCTTTATACCTTCTTCTCCTTCCCTTTTCCCTTTGAGCTTCACAAAAACTGTTCCAGTTTGACTAATTAAATGATGCGAGTATGGTTTGTCCTTGTATGTATTTGTAATTAAATTGCACTGAACTCTTAGGTACACTCATAGTTGATTTTGTTGTCTGGTTGGTTGAGTGTTTTTCATTTATTTGTGTTCACAAATACAGGTAACCAAAAGGATGAAAGGTGTAAATAGTTACACAGAATCAAGGTCTACAGTTGGATTTCTGGATTGTCTCCCCCAAGAGAGGTCACTGAGAAAAGTCAGACAGAGGTGGTTACACTTGTGATGGAATACCATGGGTCTCCACTTACATTGTCCATCTCAGGGCAGCGTTGTTTGCACCATGAGACCTCAGGACTCTTGTCACAGTGGTCACCCTGCTTGGGTACCTTTGGCAGGAGTACAGACTGATCAGGTGTACCCAGCATCTTCCAGCTGTGTTTGCAGAGGCCTTGCTGTAAGAGTCATTTCCCAGTAGGAATTAGTAAGATAAGCAGACTGTGCCCTGCAAATTAAACCATCCTTTTTGTCAAAAGTCCATTCTTCTTTTTATAGAAACATTGCTGAAGCCAGTGTAAGCAAGGATACGTTGCTACTACTTTTGATGCAATTATACTGAGAATAAAGAAAACATCACTTTTCAGGACCTTTTACAACCTCAAGTTATTAGAACAAAATTAAGCCAGTTGAATTTTAGTGTGTTGCTGTTGGACATGTTTTCTTATTTACCACAGCTGATACAAATCCAAGTCTTCTTCCCTTAAGAATACAGATTATTTTCTGAATATCTGAGCAGTAGTCTAAAGCATAATTCACCAAGCCTTCAGAATGCAATGGTAGTTCACCAAGAATAAAAACACCACCACTGACCATATAAACATATTTGTACTTAATGGCTTTTGCAGTAAGGGGTGTAAAATAAAAATAAGACAGTATAAAAATAAAAGAAATTAAGGTCTTGAGGGAAAAAAACAGCAACACTGCTGTTTATGTAAGATGAAATAAGTATAGTGGCTGAGTTTTTAACACAGGATAACACTAATATATTTGTTAGTGGATTAGTGAGAGCAACTGACTACATTAATATTTTTAATGCTACGTAAAGTATTAAGGACAATTTAGCATTATGTGTGTTTGAAAGACACAACCCTGAAGAATCTGGAACTTTGAAGCTGGAACCTGGTCTGGGAAGAGAGTTGAACCAGGTGATTTCCATAGGTCCTTCCAGCCTTAATGATTTTATGACTCTAAAGAATTATTGAAACTAAGCTGCTTTTATTAAAATATTTGCCTTGTTAGTGGCTGACAACATTGTCTAATGATAAGAGCAATGCAGGTGTGATGATAAGCTATAAAAAAATCATAATCAGTAAAGTATGAAGCCGTAAACCAGCAGCTGTACTTTATAAATGTCTGTGTGCAATTTATGCAATGTAGAAAAACAATTGAGGTATTAGGAGATGTTTTTGTAAGATCTTTAAATATATATTACTTTTCTTGCTCCTATCAATGCAAAGATACTGCATATATGGTAGTAAGTAAACCTGAGCAGTTTTTTATATTTTATGACTTTATTAGTATTTTATATTGCTGGTTTTACTGTGCAAACCTCTAGTATTTCCTATAATAACTTAAACCATATTCAAATGAGCTATTTGAAAAGCTAAATTTACTTAAAGAGTAGGTATTTAATTGGCTATTCTTATCTAAGTCTACAAGAACGCCCAGAAAATAGTTTATCTCTGTCTTTAAGGATTTATACTTTTATTTCTGTTTTTCCAGACAACATGACCAATAATTACTGTGTCAAATGCGGTTTCTAAATAGTCTTCACCTAAGATACCATAATTAAAGCAATGTATTTCATGGAAAAATTTAACAACATTTTTCTATCTCTGTTTGAGTCCAGAAATCTGAGTTATGCAAAGGCAGGAGTGGCTCAGAGGACTGCAAGTTACAGCTAATGATGTGTAGTTAGTGGCATGGGGTCAGCCTCGGTCCCTAGTAACCAAAAGTTGTTAGTATCTGATTATAACTAATTTCCAACATGAAATGAGTCAGTCTTCTGCAAGCAGATGTGGTAACATCTCATAAATAAAAACATATACACACAAATACATGTAAAAATATACAATATAATGCTTATAAATAAAATATATATTTCATATACAAACACCAGCACAACTGAAACTATTTTCCCACCTTTTACTTCTCATGAATGTGGCACATTTTTAGGTTGTAAAAGAGATAATTCCAAATCCTCTTGATTTCCCAACTGAATTTAACAGGAGTCTTGCTCTAGATTGTTTAATTTTAATCAGTTAAACTTCTTTGGTGAACTGATTTTCTATGGATACTTACCAGATCATTTGTTTCTTGCATCAATCCCATGTTCTCCTGTTTCCTTGATTACAGGCATCGGTACCAGGACATTTCATTCTGGAACACTACAGAAACAGCCTCCCACACAATAAATCATGGGAGAACTGAACGCAAGGTTTGTCTTTTGATGCTTAAAATTTTTTTTCACCCTTAAGCCCAGCTATGAAGGTAGAAAGAAATTGGATCATACAGAATACCTGAAAATTGTAGTAAGACGTGTTTAGTTACCATCCCTGTGTTCTGCTCGGGTGTCATTTGGATTGACGGTTCTGCTAAGGATACCAAGGTTCTTTCATAATTTTTGTCTTTTAGACATAACTCTTCTTTTTGTGCTATTTACTTTTGAGCCTTGGGAGCTTTCACTGCTGGAAAGTATTACTCCTAAAGAGACTTGATCATGCAGCCCTAATGAGTTAGAATCTGGTATCACTCACTTTCAGGCAACAATAAACATTATAAGACCAGAACCAGAATCCAGAGCAAACCAGACAAGTAAACCTGCCCCGAGTCTGACAAATAGGGATGTTAAAATGTCCTCATACTTGGGTTTTTGTTAGATAGCCACTTCATCCATCATAATTTGCATTGCCATGGGGAGGAGGAGTCCTCCTGGCCTCTCCTCCCAGGCTTTTCTCTTCCTGTGGAACTATGCAGTGTGGGGATCAGCATGTGGTTGGGGGAGGGATAAGGGAAAGGTGTCCATCCTTGTATAGGATTTTACATTCTGGCTGCCTGATGCCAGACTAAGGGAGGCACTAGGGACAAGCAGAGGTGAGACAGAAGGTTTCAAAGGCAGTATGGATTTGCGTTGGACTAAATTGACCTCATAACTGTGACCTCAGTGGGATCCTCCAGAACATTTATCCAGTGCAGGAACTGTCAGCATAGGAGGCACAGCCCAGGAGAACAGGCTGTCACTGGAGCTTTGTACCCCAGCAATTCCCAGTTAATAAAACAGACACCACTGGCAGCGAGTATTAATCAGCATAAACTTTGGGTTGCTGTATTTTCTAAGGCTCAGACCAATACATTTCATCCTGCAAATATTGTTTAGAAGCAATGTGTAGTGTTTTAAGCCAAGATCTTCAAATTAAGAAAGCAAGTAGACAAATTCCTAATAGCAAATAAGAGTTTTGGGAGTCAGTGGGTGCAAGTGAATATGAGAGCTGAGTGTCAAGGAAGAAAAACATAGAAAAATGCATCAAACTACATCTACCAGTTACTTTTGTCTCAATGAAATAGGTCTCTGAGGCAATTTCCCCGGACAGCAGCAATCTCTCTGTTCCATTTGGAAAAGGAAAACATGGAAAAACTTCACAAGTCAAGGAAAAAAACAAGTAGGAACAGACAGAACATATGCTGTTAAATGTAAGATTTTGAATTTTTGGTCATTCCTTCCACAAAGGTGCCTCAGTAGCCAGACACTCCTAATTTCTAAATGTTAATCTTTCTTCATTATCATAGTATTTTTCTTATTAACCAATGAGATACACATGTATTTATTTTTATTTCTTAAGAGCTTGAAGATTTTCTTCTCTCTGTTTCAGAAACTGTGGTAGCTTTGCACAGGAAAATACTTTAAGCAGAGGAATGCAGGGCATGGAAAACAATTGACATGCCTGTATCTTGTCCTTGTCTCTGGCTCCACAGGTGGGAGGGTGGAGAGAGTACTTCCTTTGGCCCACATGAGGAGGAAAGAGCTGATTAGCAGGGCTAATGGAATACAGGACTTGTCCAACCTGGTACATGCAGGTAGGCCTGTAAGAGACATCGACTTCAGAAGTCTCTACAAAATGCATAGTAAATAAATCTGAGCCACAAAACAGCTTTCAACATCCTCTAACACAAAATACCTAAAGACTGAAAGCCACAACTATTAAAAAAATAAGGCACAAGAAGAGGTCAGGAGGAATTGGGCATTGCAGAAACCCTTGGTTCTGCAATAGTAGAAAGTATGACCTAAAGTTCCAGTGAGAAGCACTCTACTCCACTTTCTCTTACAGAGAAGGAAATAAAATTTGTAACAGTTCTTCCAAAATGGAACTGAGAGGCAAACTCCTCCTGGATCCCAGTTGGCTAGATAAGCATCTATCTAGTAATTGCAGATCAGAGTTGTGAGGGATCTCAAGGGTAAATATCCACTTTCAGACACTAGTGTGGTTCTGTGTAGTTTCCATCAAAAAAGCAATAGTTTTATTGGTCGGTATACCCTGCTTTTAAAGTTCTTTATGTTGTACACCCTCACCTCTCCACCTAGCTGCAGGTATTCCTAAGTGAATTCTTGTAATCCATTATCATCTTAATGCTACAGTCAGGATTCTTTGGCCTTTGGTATTTGGTTTTGTTTGTAGGTATGATGTGAATAATGTTAATGGAGAATAATATAGATTGGATGCACCAACAGGGAATAAGATCTCATGTACAAACTCTGCAGTATGAGGTTATGCTAATAAAATGTATTTCAAAGACCTATCCCATGATAATAATCTAAATGCTGATTTCAAAATTCTTCATATTCCAGATAAGATCTGACACTGCAAGACCTCAGACTACCTGGCTGAGGGGGAACAGTCAGCCAGCAAGAAGCACCAAGTGATGGGAAAATTTGGCAATGGTCAGGGAAGATTCTACTTGCAAAAGAAAAAGAAAAGTCTCCCTTGGATTGTGACAGCCAGGTCATGGCTGATTTACAGACAGCAGCAAAAAAGCCATCTGAAGGCCAGTCCAACCAACTCTGCAGACCTCAGTGCTGTGACTTGACACAGCAAGCCCATGTCATAGGTATACAAGGTATGATAATGTAGAAGTAGTCAGCACAGTGCTGCAATTCCAAAATCTTGTAGATGAGTTGTATGGGCTATTATTAAAACAGGCCATAGACTATATTACCCCTGCAACTTCTTCTTTGAGCTGTTCTCATATCTCACTTGTATTCACTCATCAGCTGCATCAAACAGATGTCTCATGCAGCTGAGGAAGCAGTTCTAAATTCCAGGCAGAGCAGATGAAAAGTTAGTTTTAAGGGTTTCATCTAAAAGACCAACATAATGATATAGGACTCTGTGCCGTTCAATTATCAGTGCTTTCAAGGTGATGGAATCAAGAATAACAGGATTTATTTGTTACACTGGGAGATATATTTTCCATATTTTTTTATCCTTGTCAGTCATGTGCTTGTATGAGTAGTTGGGGAATCAGAGACAGCTCTAATGGAAAAGAGAAATTAGGTCATCTGGTCCATCCTCACTGCCAGGACATGACTGTTCCCTGCAGCGGATCACTTCCCACACAGTTATCTTTCCAGCCGTCTTTTGTAAGACGGAAATACAATTCAGAGTCCCATTTGGCTATGACTGCCAGAGCTTTTGAGGACTTTTTATTTGGCCAAAAATGCTTAATGAGAGAATCAGAGCTAACAATTTTAAATAAATTTCAAAGAAAAAAAAGCAAATCTCAGAATTTCATTCTCAGTAAAAACCTTTTAATAGAAAAATTGTGCAATATTTGGGATAGGAAATTGTTTTTAGACTCAATTCTACAAATAAACAATAGGTTTCCTGCTAAAAAGATCAAACAACTAGTTCAGTAAGTAGTGCAGCATCCAATACTCGAGATGCTCCGAGCAGACTGTGATCAGAACACTCAGCACTAGTGCTAGCTGACTGCAGGTAATCCGGTTGCCTTGATCCCCATCCTCCAGCAGAACAGCTGAATGGGCAAGCACTCAGACTCTACAGAGCAGGATTGGTTACTAAGGAAAAAAAACCAGCAAACACAAATGGAAAAACAGTGATAGAACTCACACATAAGTAAATGGCAAACTACTTCCCTTTCAGCATCTTTAGCATTACTAACTTCCACACTGCCTGCAAATATGAATAACCCCCATCTTTTACTACTACATCACCATGGTCATTGAGTAAATTCAACAGTTTGAATTAGTAAGTGGCAGTCCAAATACTTCCCTGAGGTTGATCTCCTTTCTCAAAGGACCTGTTTGCTTCATTTTACCAGATGTGGCCATGTAGTTTGGTTTAAGGATTCACTTTCTGAACTTAGGCAGGGATTCTCCAAACCCTGCTCAGCCTCGCTATAGCATTTCCTTTGGCCAACAAATTCTCATCCTTCTCTGGCTTCTTATGCTTTTCTACATCAGTTCTTGGAATTACATTTTTAGACCATCATCCTGCACTAGAGAATTTTGTTTGAACTTCACTCTGCAGCAACATTCTCACCAGACAGGATTCAAGAGCATTTAAAGAACTTCAGCAGAAACCCAGCAGTTCAGAAACAAGATCATCAGGACAAAATGAGTGTCTTCTCTAGATCTTCTGTGAAGAGATCTTTTGTGAAAAGACCACAGCCACTGCAATCTCATGTACAAGTGCATATGGTTGCTCTTTAAGTCTCACCAGAGGAATCATAAGATTTTCTTGGTAAAAGATGCCTTTTTTCTGTCTCCAGAGTGCTCTCAGGTGCTTCAGAGTTCAGGAATAAAACAGGTTTCTCTCTATAGTTGCCTTACCAAGTCTTCAAATTAATCCACATAGCTTTTCCTTTTGTCTCCAGCAAGACTATAAAGAGATGACAGAGTTATTCCATCTCTACTATAAACCCCGAAGTCATTGTCAAGTCCTTATCATCCTCCTTATCTTTTAAAGTACATAGAGAACACTGTGTTTCATTTCTTTACATAAATAACGCTTGACCTTGTGTTAATTTAAATGGGCTTTACCTCATGGTTTTAGGTAGTCATTGAAGTTACCAAAGGTTGCCCAAAAATCATCAGTCATGAAAGGGTTAGCATGCCAGGTGTGAGTTCCCAGGGACATGACTTTTCTGGATGCTTGTGTGTGTAAACTTTACTGTAATAACAATAATGATTAGATCTGCTCTGAGATGACAATTTTCCTTGGTTTTGTTGCAGTAACAGGCTTCTAGATTCCACTTGATGAGGAAAGATGTGGTTACTCACAGAAGAACACACTAAATTATAGAGCTTTTGTGGGTGCAGCAATTTCCTATTATTAGAGAAAAACGAAAAACATTGCAGTATTACAAATCCACTGAACAGTCAATTTATTTTCTTTCCCGTTACTTTCCTACTGCACTGTTTCATTCTGGTGATTTATTAATTAGCAGCAGGGCCTGCCTAGTTGTCTCAACAAGTGAAATTTATAAAGGCAAGGAATAAAACATAGAAGTTCCAGGATGCTGATATCGATTCCATATTTGTATCTGGCTGAAAAAAAAAATATGTTACATTGGAAAGCTTGAGCACCTTTTAAAAATTGAAGTGCCTTTGACAAAAATCATCCTTCTTCTCTCTGGTTCTAATTGGATAAAAAATAATATTTGCAATTGACCCATCAATCAAGACAGAGAGAGAGATAAACAAAATTTCCTTTCTATCTTCTAAGACAGTGAACTAACAAGTGAGCCACCTTTATAAAGAGCAGCCATTTGGAAAGAAAATACGTTTATTTCTTTCAAATGTCAGTGCTTATGTTGTTAAAGATCACTCTATTAGGCAATCAAAACAAGACTAGCGATTCCTCCTTCCTCACCTGTTTTTTCCCTTTGCAATATAAATTCTTTGCAGACACACACCAAAACAAACTGCCCCCCTTACCAACCAAATAATCATTGTCAAAATACAAATCTAACTATTGCAGACCATCAATAAACTGAATCCTCACTATAATCAGCACAACCTTAAGCAAAAGGATGTGCAGCACTAGGACCTGCCTCTGAAAACTAATTACTGTTACAGATATATTGAAGCTCTGCAATTCCTACCATCCCTGCATACCACAAAAGGTTCCTGGAGCACTCAGATCTATTAATCTAAGATGCCTCTGTGCAGAGTTGCTGACAGCAGAATGCTTACTGGATTTTAGCCATCAGGCAGAACTGACACGAAAACAAGTGGGTATAAACTAGCTAAGAGAAAGCTTCTTATTTGGATTTCTAGCTATCAGCAAGCCAAGGACCTGGAACAGGCTTCCAGTACCAAAGGAGGAAAAGAATCTAAATACAAGCCTGGATAAACATACTGTATAGTGCCTGTGATGGCAATGAGTGGGATGTGATGATCTAGGGGGTCTCCTCCAGACTTATTTTAAGTACATAAACCACAGCATAAGTTGTCCCACTTTGAAGCAAAAGTCTTCAATTGCTTAGGCTGGTTTTATTCTCCATAGGAACAATTTATATTATTATTTCTACAATTGAATTTTTTTTTTGTTATTTATCAAAGCTGCTGGTTTTCAACCACATTCCACAGCTCCACTAGAGGTGACGATGTGCTCTTGGTACAGAACAGCATGTAACTGTCTTGCTGCTTGCAGAACGGAGCAGCACATAAACAGAGCTATAAGCATCTTTTCAGCCCTGACCACAGAACAGACCTTCATGCTTCTGAGCATCCACACATCCCTGTTTTAAGTGACAAGATACTTTAAGTTCTTTCCACTCTGGAGATAATAATAAAAGACAGTTTGCATTCAAAACTACTCTGATCTATGGACTCTTTTTTTATTCTCCTGCCTTAAAATGCACTTTCAGTGGTGCACTTACAGTGATCTTGCTGTATCTCCTCCCCTCTGCGATCCTACACCACACCTTGCAGCACCTGGGTGCAGAGACCATCCCCTCCTGCAAGTATTTTCAAGGTGCAAGAGATGAGAACCATTTGTGCTTTCAAGAACAGTGTCTCTTCACTGGCTATCTAGCATGCCCAGCCCTTGCTCCAGATCCTTGGAAGGACAGGGTAGAAAGGAAGGGGTGGGCAAAGACAGCTGGAGTACAGCAGAGCAGGAGAGTAACCAGACCATTAGAAACACTTGTAGGAACAGAAGTTTCACAGCAGAGTAGTTCTGAACTAGGCTGGTAAGTGCAAAAACCATCATTTTGTCTTCCACTGAGCATTATTTAAACTGCCTCAAATGGGATAAAACCTGGGGGAAGGGACAAAATGGAATAGCAAAAACATGAACTGATTTCAATTGCCACTGGCTGGGATTCCACCGTACACAAACTTCTCCAGTGACGCTCAGCTACTTCTTGAGAGCTTCCTCCTGTTCCTCCTACAGATAAAAATATCAACCACCTCGCAAGCACAAAGCTTAACAGCAATAAACTGGTATGAGAGTTTCCACTTGACACAATGCTTAGTGAGCACTAACACTTATTTAAAGCATTTTGGCATGGCTATGCAGTAGCAAATAACTACACTTTGAAGGCCCCCCCACATGGGTATCTATTCTATGTTTGTGTGAATCCTACTTGAAGACCTGATCTATGAAAACTGAATCATATTCTCAAGGTCCTGTATTTAAACTGATTAGTTCTAACATTAAGAGGTGAATTAAGTCATGAATGAAGTTCACCAACTACTGAAACCTTTTAAATCATATAGCAAGATCTTGTTCAGATCATGTATTCTGATCAAATTAGCTGTATGAATAGAATTTAAGTCACCTATACATTAAAATCAACAAAATTATGCTAACAGAGCAAAAGAAGCTTTTTATATCAGTCTGGATTTTTCAGAAAGGGTGAGAGTGGCAAAATCTTGACTCTGCCATTTTATAAAACAGCCCCAAAGCATTGTTGCCTCTCAGTTCATGTTGGCATAATTTGTTCTCTGAATAGAAATGCATGTAATTTTTAAATTTCACGAGGCTAATTCATGCATCTATTACTACAGATTTCCTTGGGGAGCACAATTTAAGTAATTCAGAGCATAGAAACAAATATCTCTTCTCCCTCTCCTTTTCCTCCTTCTTACAGGGCTGTAACGAGCCCCTTTTATTGTTTTCAACAGATTTACAACAAACTGGAAATACCCAGCATCTGCTCAGCAATAACAAGATCAGCAGCCATACTTGATTTGAAGCCAAGGCCTAAAGAAGCCCCACCTTTCTCCCCCCAAACAGGTTTTACAAACTCTGTTTTCAAAGGAGAGGGATTTTACAATGACAACAACAGCAGGAATGAGGATATAACTAAGCAAAGAGATTGGACAACTGAGAATATAATTTGCAATAGAAGAGCTTATGAGCTACTTCCAATGGCATTTACAGAATCTCTGCTCAGGGATTCTTACACTGATGTCAATTCACAGATCCTCCACTACAGACAAACTCCCCTTAAAAAGTTTGCATATACAGATGTTTTAAAATACTTAATGACGTAGTTTCAGGCTACACTTTTATAATCAGAAGTAATTGTCAATATTTGTCAATTTAAGGACTCTGGCAGAAGACAACAAAGCATGCGCTCTAGGAAGCTGGAGTCTTCCCAGCATAGTGGAAAATATCATGGCAGTAATCCAAAGCTGGTACTAACATTTCACCCTTCCCACACTGGCATTTTATTCATCTGAAAGCTGGCCAAGCTGTAATTGCTGGAGCTTTCAGCAGTCGTGTCATCTAGCCACACTCACACAAAAGAGGGCAGTTAGTTCTTGTTACACAAGTCTGGGATTTCAGCTGTACAACTGGGATCTCAAAGTTGTAGTCTTCCAGTAATGTTAGGAATAAATTAATCCAAGTGCATCCTTTTCCTATATATGATGATTTATTGCCCCATTTACCCTCTTGGTTTGCTAAGAATGATAATTCTAGGTGGCATCAGAATAATTCTGATGTGTTTAGGCTATTAATAGGAAAACCACACTAAACTTAAACAGTGTATTTGGTATGCTCATGTCAATTCTGGTAACCCAAATCAACATTTGTACTGGCTTGTTTTTTCCTCTTTGGTGTGTTTATGGCAAAAGCTTTCAATCTCCACCCCCCAAAAAACAAAAGAAAAAGCCCCCCAAGAAACTCCAAACAAAACACTCCCACAAACCCAAATTTAAGTGTGGTCTCCCCACATTCCTTTGTACTGCACAGAACAAAGTTATGTGCAAAGGAGCGAGTGCTCTATTCGTTTTACAGAATCATAAATGAATGTGTCTCCTGGTGTAACAAGTAGCGGGCTATCATAGAGAATACTGCAACTAGACTTGGAGAAAACTCTTTGCTGACGTTACTCATTTTAACAAAGATCCTGAGAAATCAAGTACAAACCCCATGTTTTGCTGAGTTATAAGAGAAATACTTCAGAAGTGGCTTAGCATGAACTACCATCTCTACTGCCATTACTTATACGGCAGAAAAGTGAGAATTTGTTTTTATTTAATAGTCTGAAAATACTAAGAAGGGAGTTGAGATGATTAACGCAGTACTGTGAAATTTACTGTAGAGATGCAGCAGTAACTGTGCCCCACAGGATTTACTTTTACAACCATGTTCAACATATGAAAATCCCATCCTTACTCTAACAATATGCTATTGTTTTACTGAGGTGCCTTAGATCGTATCGTCAATTGTGTGTCTGGCTTGTGAAGAAGATGCAGAGTTCGGAATTTGCGGCATTAGTCTGTGCAGTGTTTCTAAGCTGTGGGGCAAGTCCTTACATGCCGTGGGGCAGGATCCAAACCCGCTGCAAATTATCTCCAGGAGCTGGAAACCATAATACCAGATGATGTGCTTAATTTGTCTGGGTATTGTACTAATAAAGGAGTTTACCCAGGAGGGACAGGCTAGGCAAAGTCATTTAGGGAATTACAGTTCATCCCTTTTTTTTGGTACTATCACCTAAATGTTTCATTACCTCCCTCCTTCAAAACAATACAAATATTTGGCAGAATTCTAGAAGTAACACTATGAGATGATGCTGCATGTTATTATTTAAATTCATAAGCTGATACGGCAGTTTCAAGACTCCTTTTGTAAAACGTACATGCAACAAACAAGAGGCAGCTAGAATTGCTGCTGTCTTAGCTATAATCTAGATACAAGGCCCAGATCCCATTCCTGTAAGGAAAATTGACAACTCCCTTGACAAGGTGCAAAAGAAAGGAAACAAGAGAACAGCGTTAGCTGACAATGTAGAGCAAGCTAAGACAGCAGCCAGAGACAGCAAAGAAAGCAAACTCTTAAATGGGCAGAAAAAGCTGCTACATGTCAGGACCCAAAGCTTTACTAGAGAATGGCAGCATTTACGAGCTAAAAACCTTTATGAAACAAATAAAGGATCAATAAGAAATGCAGGGGGGAGGGTAAGAAATTACGAAACCAAAACACCGATTAAGAAGCATATGAGTTTATGTAGAGTCCTGCCACACAATACTTTGACAGCAATTCAAAGTGACTGCATGAAGAAAATGGAATTGATACAATTTTTTTTAAAGTAATGCATGTCAATTGAAGCACAGAATCTGAACAGTTTTATTGTAGAAACACTCATTGTGCACACTCAAAGAATGAACAAAAACATGGAAGGTGGAAGATGTACCATCAAAAGCCTGCAAGGAGTAGTAATATATCCTTTTTCATAATGTCATATCCTGTGTAGCCAGGACACTAATAGGAGTTAAATATTTTCAAAAACCCACCAAAATGGGAAACTAAGAGGTAGAGGTTTAGGAAAAAAACTCTTAAGCAACCTAGGGGAGAAAAGAAAAAAAAAAAAGCAGAGCAACATATTATTACAAAAACCTCCAAAAATAGGGGAACACAGTAACACTAAAAGCAGTCTAAGAACAACAGAAAGCATATTATGATGTGGCAGCACACAAACTAACATTCTAGAGCCAAACAAATTCCTCTGCATTACTAGACATGTAGCTGGAATACCGTGATGATGTCCATCAGTGAAAAAACACAACAGGAGAACAGGGAGGAGAATTTCAATAGATTACCAAAAAAAAAAAAGGCGTAATTTAGATGAGGATATTTGCAAGCCATGAAAGAGTATCACGAAATTGGCTCTCTTTTCTTAGGTCATTATTAAGGTAAAGCAATTTCCTCTAGCAGATTTAGTTACTAAGAAGTCCACATGTCAGGTTAATTATGAAAAGTTATCTAGGATATTTTCATAAAATGAGTTCAATTAAGAGCAGACTTCTTAAAAGTATGCAATAAATTTGAGAGAGACATTTCCAGCACAAGATATACTTACATTTAAGTTTAGCCCTTAAGTTATTACATGGAATTGTTACAAGTCAACAGTAGGTGGTTTATAAAATGTAATTTTATTTCATGTTACTTTGCTGTTACAGAGGGCAATAACATTTTCACAAGGCTTTTTTGGGACTACAATCAATGATTAGCAACACACAATAGTGGTCCAAACTCTCTAACAATCACTGGACAAACTTGACACCTTCTCACATGTGCACAAACCTGCATGGAAAAGTACTAAATTTTATACTTGGACATGTGAACTTCAATTGGTTTTCCCATTCCAGTGTATTAAGAAATGACATGCACTTCAGTCTGCCAAAAAGCACTGCCTGTACTCCAGCAGTAACATGCTGCTTCTAATACATAGTAAAGTGAATACCAGAACTACAAAGGCAGGAGTGTAAGTGAACTTTTATTGGGAAGGGATATCAACTTAAACAGCAGCAACTGAAGATTAAGAGAAGCCCCTGTTTTCGAACACACAAGTTTCTGTATTACATGATACGGGAAGCAACTCAATTTATAATTTTCCAAACTTTAAATGCTCAACTTGATCTGGCCCAGTACTTCCATATTCCTACTGAAACGAATACACAGTAGCATGTGAAAGTCAATTATGGAAAGGAAACCCTGCAGAATAAGAAGGGAATGTGGAGAATTAAATGCTATGTGGAACACTCTTTAGTTGCAATTAACTACATTTTCATATCTTACTGTAATACAAAACAGTCAACTGGCAGGAACTGGTTCAGATTTGTTTTTAAATACCAGGTACACTTTAGTCCGCTACATAAGTGTTTGGAAATTACTTATGTTTATATGAAATGAAGCTATTAATACTTTTCTACAGCAGTAACCGCACACCAGGAAGGCCAGGACAAACACAAATCAAGGAATGGAGTTTTCCCAAAGCTGCAGTGTGAAAGGACTATAAATTGATTTCCATACACATGGATGGGTTTTCTTTGCTATAGGAAATCCAAGTGAAGCTATAAGGAATGGAGACGTGTAAAAAGGTTTCTTGAGAAGGAAAGGGAGAATGACGCCCCACGTGCAGTTTAGTTTTCTGCACCTTCTGCAGCATCACATTCTTCTCCTGCACTGTCTGATGTCCATAACTAGAAAGAAGAGAAAAACGATATCAGCTTTCAGAAGCACAGCTGGAATTCCAAAAAGTGACAACTGTATGGAAATGGTAATGAATTAGACTTAAGGATCTCTACAAAGTACCAGTGCAGTGGCACTGCACAGCCCTGGCTTCCGGTACTTGCTGGGAGAGGTAACTGGAAAGAGCTCCCTGTGCGCAGGGCACAACCAGCTATGCCCTCAGGTAGAGGGGCAGAGCAAACTGTTCTAAATGGCTCTAGTTTTTGTGTTTAACAGCACGCTGTGCCATCGATCCCAGGACATTCTACAAGCCTGAACAGCAGCTTCACAGGTAACTTCCATTTCAAACACACCAGTCTGAATCCTGGAAGTGTCAATTGCCATTTTGGTTATCAAAGCTAAGCACTTTATACTGCTAACAACAGACATTTCTACTGAAGGAGTACTGCAAAATAACAAATGTTGCTATAATTTTAAATACAGTGAATATCCAGAGAGGATATTCCTTGAAAAACTGTCTTAGTTTCATATTTTAATAGAACCTAGTTGTTCCATTAGGCACTTTTCTTAAATAGTTAATCATTACAACAACATACTCAAACACGAACTGATTTTATTCTTAATACATTGAAATTTCAGTTCTTTTAAAAGAAAATCAGGACAATGAATCAAGCAAGCTACACTGGATGTACAACAGGAAAAACTTTTCGTTTTGAGGTAGTCATCAAAAAAGTTTGAGGATGAATCCCTGACAGATCATGGATTATTGTGGTTTAACTCCTTGCCTCATCTTGTACATTAGGTTAGCTGAATGCCCCTTCTCCCTTCCACTGAGAAGGCCATCAAACCAGGAAGAATGTGAGCTAGTCAAGCTGTTATTCCAGATTACACAGCATGAACAACATGTAAGTTGACAGTAACTTACACAACATTAAAACTAAGTTATGAAAAGGTATCGTAGGTAAACAGCCTGAGTCAGTGCTATGCTTTGCACTAGAGTGAAATAAAGGCTTTGTTAATCACAAATTCAGTCTAACTAATCAAACACATGGTTACAGAACCAGATAGCACAT